CCACGCTTATCTAGGTCCAGAATCCACTTGACAAGCGTTTCCTCTTCATTTTCGGTCAATTTATGAGAATTTGCACGTTTATTGACTCTTGCACTACGCCCATGAAGCCTGTCGGAGAGAGTAGAACGCGGGACATCAAACAAATCAACAGCTTCACGAATTGAAGAAATTTGGCCGTTATTTATGGCAGGAATTGCAAGTTGGAGCCTGCCCTCTTGCTCAATTAATTTTTTTGACTTTTCAGTGCGAATTGGTGGCATAATCGCGTGTTGAATAGCTTCAATTTCTATATAGGAGACGCGTTCGGAGGTGGTGTCCGGCTCGGGGGTGGATTACGTTATCTTATCGGTATCGTCTACACTGGCAATTATTTAGGTTTGGCCTGTAGGGATTGATTACATTTGGTAGAAAGCAGTTTATTATTTTTTTATTATTTCTATTATTTCCTTCCTTTTTAGAATTATGTATATGATCCATTACCTCCTCAGGGCACGCACATCACGTGGCCGGCCCCTACGAGAAAGTGTTGCGACTCCTGCTCTTAGTCCTCCCTTTCTCCAAAGATCGACATTCCTTCTTGGATTCCAGATCGTCAAAATGTGAGGTCTATTATTTATGCTGACGAAATGAATCCGCTATCTGAGCTAAACGGGATAGTCGGCCAAGCATTTCATGATCCATTGGAATGACGTCGGCCTAGTAACAGGACTGCATTCATCATGCAGGTACGGTACATACGTGTACCTGCATACTTCATGATGCAATTCTGCAGCAAACAGGCCTCCTTTCAGGAAACTTGTTTACTATCTCGTCGACTCGCAGTTTCAAGACTAGCTCCCTACGTGAGTATCTGGGCGATCATTGTTTCTCATGAGAATCTTGCTAGGGATGCTGACCACTTCATCTAGGGATAGACGAATGAATTAGACACTGCATACTGCCCCTTGGTCAGAATGCCTCGCTACCGCGATCTACGTGGCGGTTGCAGTGTATATCGGGCCAAGCCTACCGGATAGCCTGGACTGGATTGCTGCAGGACCGTTGTTTATCTCGTCGAGAAGCGTTCGTCATGTCCTGTGGAGCAGAAGAAAGGGAATTATTTGCCTGATTGTCGATATTTTTCTCAAAGTGACCCTTGACCATGCTTTTGTGATCAACAAGGCTAACGAGAGTCATGCTTGTGGCCTGATCTTAGACTATCAACAGCACTATCAACAGTACTTTGCTCCTTTAAGTGCACACGCGTTGACTGACCGATCCTGTATATATTTTCTAGTCAACGGCACAACAGAGTCCGGAAGGAAGAAGGAATCGTCACCTCTAGCGCAGCCATGGAACTGTCTATTCGGCGAGCGTGTCTGTACGCTCTCAGCTTGTTGAGCGTCAGTTTCCTGCCTCGAATCTGCCTGGCTGTCGCTGTCACTGGTGTCTCCGGCGGCGTCAACCCCGAGACGGGAGAGCGGCCGTTTCGTCTCAACCTGAAGGAGTTCCAGTCGTCGGGGCCCGCGTTCGATTTGTACATCCAGGCTCTGATCCGTTTCCAGGAGGAGGATCAGTCGGAGCTGCTTTCTTGGTATGAAGTTGCGGGTATGTCTGTTTGTTGTCTCTCTGGATATATTGATAGTAGTTTTGTTTGACTTGATCAGTTGCTAATGTCGAGATGATGGATGTAGGAATCCATGGCCTTCCGTATCGATCCTGGGATGGCGTTGAAGGATCGTACCAGACGGGATACTGCTCCCATGGCTCAGTCACGTTCCCTACGTGGCATCGGCCGTATATTGCTCTGTTTGAAGTATGATACCTCGTGGACCTTTTTCACTGTGGCGAAGTTCACTGCTAACTGCTTGTAGCAAATACTGTGGAACTACGCGCAGGACATTGCTGCCTCCTATCCGGACGAGAACCGCGATACCTACGTAGCTGCAGCCACCACGCTGCGAGTGCCCTACTGGGACTGGGCGAGCGACCCCCAGATGCCGGATGCGCTGGTCACTCCGACGATCACCATCAACACGCCATCGGGACAGCAGCAGGTGGATAATCCGTTGTATAGTTATAAATTCCATCCCTTGCCCGTGGGGACAGATATCCCGAATGATAACCCGGTGAGTCGATATAGTTTCTACTGGAAAACAGGATCTTGTGCTGATTTCGCAGCTCGCAAACTACACCAACACCGTCCGCTCGCCTGACGCGAACGGTCAGAGCAGGATGGACAGGGTTCAGCAGTTGATGACGTCCAACGCCGCCTGGTAGGTCCTCCAAGTAGGATAATAGTTGCAACATCTGGACAGACTGATTGACGGATTCTTCCGCAGGCTCCGTTCCAGCACGTACCAGCTCCTGAGCACCGAGACCAACTACACCGTCTTTTCCAACGAGGTGCTCAAGGACCGTGGACAGAACTACAACAACCTCGAGAGCATCCACGACGCGGTGCACGCGCTGACCGGCGACGGCGGCCACATGACGTATTTTGACATGGCCGCTTTTGATCCTATTTTCATGCTCCATCATTGGTAGGTGGCCTAGCAGGTCAACTTGGGGCTTTAGAGGAATTCAGACTGATCCTGTGAAGTGCCATCGACCGCATCTTCGCCATCTGGCAGGTGCTCAATCCCGACTCGTATGTCGAGCCTATGGCCGATGCGTACGACACGTTTGTGACTGGGGCTGGGACGGTTTCGACTGTGGATTCACGTGAGTAGACAGAAGTTTCTATACACACACACGCGTGTGTTAAATCTATTGTATGCATAAGGATGAAGCTTACAACCGACCTATCCAGCCCTCTATCCCTTCCACGCCTCCGACAACGCAAACGACTTCTGGACATCCGCGTCGGTGCGATCGATCGCATCATTCGGATACAGCTACCCCGAGATTGTCGACTGGGACGTCGACCAGCAGACGCTGCAGAACAACGTCCGCGCGGCCGTCAACAACCTGTACAATCCGCCTCCCAGCAGGCAGGCAAAGCGAGACCTGGTGCCACCGCCCTCGCAGCTTGCGGACAACATTCATGACATGGCGGCTGCGATGGTCACGGGGATACTGAGCTCGCAGGAATTCTTCGATCTGGGCGTGAACAACCTGGCCCGGCACTGGGCGATCAATATCCGTGTGAACAAGTTAGTGCCCTCATCTTGTCTCCATGTAAACTGACGATACGATCTAACTAATTCTCTACCAGACACGCCCTCGCTGGCAAACCTTTCCAGATCCACTTCTTCTACGGGCCCCCATCGCCAGACCTGGACCCGTCAGAATACGGCCACGCAAGCAACCTCATCGGCACATACCGCACCTTCACCGCGCCACGACGCCCAGCATCCTCCTCCTCCCGGATGACAAGCTACGGGCAGATCTCGCTCTCGCCCGTCATGGCGACGGCGCTATACCACGGCATCGTCCCGCGCACCCTCGCCCCCGACGCCGTCGTTCCGCAGCTGGCGCACAACCTGAACTGGCGCGTCACCGACTTCCACGGCAACGAGATCGACCCCGAGGAGCTGGTTGACCGGTGTCACCTGCGGATCAGCGTCGTGTCGCGCGATGTCCAGCCGCTCGAGGCCGGTGAGGAGCATCGCTTCCCGCGGTATGGCGGGTGGATTGAGTATGCGGCGGCGACGGCGGGGAAGGTTGGAGGTGTTGATTTCGAGAATTTGTAATCCTCTTCTCTTTCTCTTTTTCTTTCTTTTTCGTTAATTGAATAATAAACTTTTATAAATTGTTGTTTCGGTGGTTCGTTCGTTGTTGCTATTGCGGTTTGATTCGGTGTATATTAGTTTATATTTAGTTTGGTTTAGACGTGGTATAATTATTTAATTAATCTCTTCATGGATCGATGAAATAAATAATGGACATGTGATGGAATCAGCACTGTGTAAATCAAATAAACACATCTCAGTAACTAGATATCTGGTGACAGCGAGTCTGAGTCTGTCTTGTGCTGAGCAAATAAGTACGTTTCATGTCGACTTGATACAAAAAGTTCAATCTCGCTAGGACCTCGATTTCAAGACCATCACACCAAGAACTATTGTGTTTGCTGGGAAGGACACACTCCAAATTACCGGGACAAGATCGACAGCCGTCGCAAGAATCTGTGGAATGGGGCTTGCCATCAGCATTCTGTTCGCTTGGCAAGGCGGCGTGGGTTATCACCAGGCCTAGGAGAATCAGCCAGTCATCCCACCAGAACCCAGCCTTGACGAGCCATCTGGAAGTGAATCGAAGACCGACGGCGAGCACGGCCAGGAGCCATGTGGATAGAATTGCGCCCCGGATTTGGGGCTGCTTGCTGGCTGTCAGATCAATGCCTGGTAGCACGGTCGTCGCCATGACGGTGGTTATGCAGCCTCAAAAGGAAGAGTTGAGTATGAAGCCTACTTATATACTTGGCTGACGCCTCAGCTGCCAGGGATCTATATGAGAGCGCACAGAAGGTAAGTTAGGTTGCTGATCCTTTCAAAGGACTGCATTTGAGAGCTGCCGTTCCAGTGCCTCGTCAGATTAACTGCCCACCCTCACACTCCAGGATTCGCAGGCACGGTATTTATGAAAATGGAGTAATTTCCCCGTCGGCATTTCGTGAGCGACTGTCTCAGGGTCTGGGCCTGAAGGTAACACAGAGCTGAACTCTGCAGTAGAATGCCAATAGGCTTCTTGAGGAAGAATTCGCCGAAGACAATCCGGGGTCGCTGTATATGACAACACAGCTGAGATGGGCCGAAATGCAAGGCAACACCAGCATGGAAATCACTGGGGTAGATTGCAAGGAAGACCATCCTTATGGCCAGACATAATGACTAACAGCACTCACCTCCCGGATTTCTCCGTTGGAAAAACGACTGGAACTCGGAAGGATCATGCGTTCAAGCAAGCCTTCTATTGCTCTCGTTCCAGGGGCCTATGCGACCGTGAAGTCGCCCTGGAACATTTTCTACCATGATGTCCGCGTAGACAAAGATTAAGGCCCTCTCAGACCTGCGGTTACAATCGAAGGCAGCACTGTCGTCTCCCAGCCGGTGGATCTTCTCCAAATCAATTGCTCTCATCGATGGAATGAATATGGGGAGAGCATCTGTATGTACTATATTACCATTCACCTCTTAGCAAATCGTGTACCTCCAACGCCACAGAATGGGAGGAGTTTAGGACCAAAAGTATGGTGGATTGTGGCTAGCCATGCTTGCAATGCCTAGTACAGTACAGATCTTGTTCCAGAGCAGCAAACATCATCTCCATTAATCACACGAAGCCGGAACACAATCAAGATAAGAAGTTATGCCACATGGTCCACTGCGTTCCTCTTCTAGTAAGCATCCGGATAGGCAACAGCATCCTCACTGCGTTCGTATAGATCCGGATAGGCGACCGAGTCCTCAACATTTTGTTTGGACTCGTCGACGGTACCCTCAGACGCTGTGAAGTAAGTATCAGCCTTCCGTATGTATGTAACAGACCAGATAAAAGTGAAGTCTAGAATCTAGCCATTGAGCAAAGTCGACATACCACTACGAGCTCTCAGAGCCGGTGAAGCCCAGGCCACAGCGACGCTGACGGTAGCAGCAACGAGGATGACAGAGAAACGCATCTTGACTGGATATAGAGAGAGCAAATGGAATCAAATCAAATCAAATCAAATCGAGTCGACGGACGGTGTGCAATGGACTATGGATTTCGATATGGGAGGTTTCTTAAAAAAGGGAGAGAGAGAAGAAGAAGAAGGATGGAATTTAGAGTGAGTGACCGTGTTGAGATTCACTTCGCATGATGCTTGCTACAGTACATGCATGGTTTGCACAACACTCATCTGATGCTTGCTTTTTTTTTTGTGCTTTCTGCTATCGCTGCCAGAGGCTTTCGTCATTGCAATTGTGTATCCAACAACTGACTGGTTGGCTAATTGACAGTATTCGGAGTCGCCGGAATAGAAGTCGATGTAATGTTACATGTACAGTACATACATATATACATGGGAGGAGGGGGTTATGGCAAGTTGAGAATCAAACCTGGAAGGTACATCCCTATGTCAGTAGCACCAAACGTGGGGGCGCTGAAAAAAAAACCCTGGATAAATGTTCAAGGTACATGATAGTACATGATTAATCCATGTCAACAGACATGAGATTTAAAAAGATCATTGCTTGGATCTGTTACGGCAAACGAGTCTATGCCATGCAGATCCACTTTTGTCTGGAGCAAAACAGACGCCAGGCCCATGTTCAACTCTCAGATGCCACCGCGGACTTGTGTCGACTTTGACGGCCTCGTGGCGTCGATAGAGGACCGGAAGGTCGACGTGGAAGAGATCCAGAGGTTGAAGAACCCGTTGTTGAGCAATGATTTGTAGTTAGTGCAATAGATACTAGTCATATTTTAAAATAAGAGTCAGATACGGTCCATATCTAGTGGATTTCTTGCCCTCTGCTTGGATCCTGCTCGTAGGTCTGCCATCGTGTCGTCCACTCGACCAGCTGCTCCCAGCTCCTGCACTGATGCTCCGTGCCAAAGCCCGTGACGCCTCCCAGTGCCTTGTCCTTCGTCTCGACCGTCAAGTCCGGGTTGCACATGAGACTCTGCCGCAGGAGGTCGATGCAGTGTCGGATATGCACCGGCGAGGACATCATGGGGAGATCATGCTCGTCGAGCTTCGTGCCTTGCATGACGGCATCGTGCAGGACCCAGAAGCCCTCCCGAATCCCGTTCTAATTTTTCCAGCTGTCAATAGAAATTCTGCCGCTGTTCGTCCAAGGACATACATACCAGACAGTGCAGCTGGTGGAAGACAGCAAAGGCCGATCTCTCCGGGGCGATGGTTGGATGCTTGAAGAATCCCCCTTGGGCAGGGAAGAGACTCTCCCAGGCAGAGTCGGTGATGACGGATGGTCGCTCCGCAAAGGTTGCATTATATCTGAAAACTCTGGGGGCCTTTTCCACTAGATGCGAGTCAGTTCTCTCTTTCTCTCTCTCTCTTTTACTGATAAGATTGAATATTCACCTGGGATGACTGAGTCTGGAGACAACGCTCTCGCGACGCGGTGCGTTCCAGCAGCAAAGGTGACCACCAGGATTGTCGACAGCGCAACGAGGGTCACGATCAGGGAGCACCAGGAGAATTGAATAATAATGCCGGGCCTGTTGTCGTTGTCGCTCTCCAGGTTCGCAATTCGACTATAGCGTATATGTCGGGAAAGAAATCGCAGGAAGCACCCCATCGTGGCCACTAACGACTTTGGCGAACGAAAATAAAGTGGACGATATTTCTTTTTGCCAGTATCCTATGTAGGTCGATACTGTATGCATCGACATGGCCTCCCAATTCTGGACTGTTGCATTGCGGGTGCCTTGCTTTTCTGAATTCGACTGGGAATCAATTAATCCAGGGACCATGCATGCAACCGTGGCGTTCAGCTGAACTAGTGGCATATTACGTACGTAAATATGTACATACATACCCTGGTGCTGTCTCATAAGTTGTTTCGAGAGAAGCGAGTGCTGGACTGGGAATTTCCCCCAACTGGCCGATTCCGTTTTATCTGTTGGCAAAAATCCCTCTGAGATAGTGCGAGTGGAAGACTGGCCGGTCGTGTTGCACAGCATCAGCACGGTTGGCTGGCGGCGTTGGTCGCGAGTCAGCTCGACAAGGCAGACTGCATATAATCTAACCAGCAGGACTCGAGCGATCCCATCTTCACCAGAACAACATCACCATGTCTTCTTGCACCCGCATCGCAGAGCTAGCATCGACCATTGCCACCAACACGGCCAAAATCGACGCCTACAATGCCGAGAAAGGCCTCCCCTCGCAGTCCTTTGACCCCGACGCGCCGCCCAAGTACGACTACCCTCCGGAGATTGAACACGCCCGCCAGCAGGTTCTCGGTGCCACGGACGAGCTGCACGCGTTGATGGCCGGGCCTGCCAGTGCTTTCGTGAAGCCTTCTGTATGTCCCTCGCTTATATCCCTCCAGCTCAGCAAGCATATGAATCCAGCGCGCGGCTGACAACAACACAGCACAACGCCCTCACGAGCATCCACGCGCTGTACCGCTTCAACATCGCCAACAGCTTCCCCGAAGGCCAGGAGGAAGCGACGTATGAAGAGCTTGCACAGGCCTGCGGGCTCAGCGAGTTCAACCTGCGCCGCATCGTGCGCGCCGCCATGACCCAGCACATCTTCCGCGAGTCGCGCAAGGGCGTCGTCGCGCACACCAGCGCCTCCAAGTTCTTCGCCAACAACCGCATTATGCGCCAGTGGGTGGGCATGGTCACGGAGGAGATGTGGCCTGCTGCCACCAGGGAACGTATGGTCCTGCTTCTGCCTGAAATGAAACAAGATACTAAATGAGTCGACTCTCTTCAGATGGTCGATGCCATGCAGAAATGGCCGAGCTCCCAGGAACCCAACGAAACCGGCTTCAATATCGCCCACCACACGGACCAGCCCATGCTCAACCTGCTGGCCAACGATCCGGCGCGCGCGCAGCGCTTTGCCGAGGCCATGTCGCTCTTCAACGCCAGCGACGGCATGGAGCCCGAGCACCTGCGCGATAACTACGACTGGGCCGCACTGGGAGAGGGCGCGACGCTGGTCGACATCGGCGGCTCGCACGGCGACGTCGCCGTCTCGCTGGCCCGGCGCTTCCCCAACCTGCGCTGCGTCGTGCAGGATCTTCCGGAGGTCGTGGCCAGCGCAACCGTGCCCGAGGGCCTCGAAGACCGACTCAGCTTCCAGGCGCACGACGTTTTTCACCGAGCAGCCCGTCAAGGACGCCGACGTGTACCTGTTCAAATGGATCTTCCACGACTGGTCGGACAAGTATTGCATCCGGATCCTCAGGGCCTTGATCCCCGCGCTGAAAAGGGGCGCCCGCATCGTGGTCAGCGAGTTCATCATGCCCGACCCGGGCGTGATTCCCTTGTATCTCGAAAAGCGTGTCCGGTGAGTCGCGCCCTTCAATAAAATCATCTGTTTACCCTCGCTGGCTGACTCACCGCGCTTACCGCAGCTCCTTCGACCTGGCCATGTGGGAGATACAGAACGGCAAGGAGCGAGAAATCGCCGACTGGGCCGCCCTCTTCCAGGCCGCCGATCCGCGTCTCAAGCTCACCAACATCATCCAGCCGCCGCTGTCGAAGCTGGGTATCATCGAGGCCACATGGGATGTGTAGGATTAGCCTCTTGCAGCCGTCTTGCTATGCGAAGGGTACTACCTGGTGGAATAATGGAGATCAGGGGGACAAGCACAGCTCGAGTTGGTTCTGGACAGTGCATATGGTCTCCAATGAACGATATTAATTGCTTTCTAGGGAGGCAGGCCATAGATAATTATCTAGCCTATCCTATAGTAAGACTAGCTAAGACAAAAAAGGAATAAGAACTATTAATAAGAACTATTCATGAACATTATTAGCTACTCCATTTTTTTTAAAAAAAAAAGGCCATATAGCTTTGTGACTTGTTCAAAGCCTGTGACTTTGCCTCCCTACTTTAGCGACTGACAATAGTTACTAATCTAGAGCAATCTAAACCCGACCTGCTTGCCAAACTATGTAATACAGTACAGTACCTAGCGGAATCTAGATTAATCTAATAGTTTTTATCCTTGAACTGCAACTCCTGCCGGTTAAGCCCATTTAAAATGCCAAGGATTGTTATAAATTCGCTGGATCGTTTATAATCGGGCCTTCTACAGATATATTCTAGAATAATAGGCCCAGGAGGAAGACATGGGGCTGAGGATCAAGGTCGCACAAGAGAGACTGAGAGCTACCTTTTCAGGAGACTCAGGAGGAGACAAGCAAGACCGTGTACTGTACAGTACTGTACTGTACATACATATGGAGATGGTCTCACTGCAAAGATGTCAACAGCCAAAAAAAAAAGGGGGGAGAGTGGAAAATTTATAAATGCACTGCTCCTTCTTGCCCAGAGGCGTCTTGATGGACTTCTGTTGGTTTCATTAAATAAATAAAAAAATAAATAGTCAAGGACACCCTCTGCCTGGATCACATATCAGATAGTTGATTTGGAGAGATAAATAGCAACAGTCTAGCAATACCTACAGATAGCTACTAGTAATAGTTGCTAGTCGGCAGAAGAGGGTCAGCTTGCTTTATAGCTAGCTGCTTGCAAATTTTATCTTGACAGGGTCACTTTTGGTTAATACTTAAGGAGATTCTTTTCTTCTGCTTGCAGTTGTATGAAACAGGACCGATTGCTCATATCCTTGACCTTTTATGATGGTTATTTTATTAAGCCTGTTGTTCCCTGCTTTGTGCTTATAAACTAGATAAATGCCTACCTTCTCGAAGGTCTCTAATAAGTTTTTTTAAACTTGATTCTAGGAGTTCTATATCTGTTGATGTTCTTACCCTGCTGATGGTTATAATGTCAGCTGAGGAACTCTTTAAGGTAGTCTCCTCGGTCAATGGTCTCAGAGAGTGAGTAGTAGTACTCTACTAGATCATGCCTGGAACTAACAGTTTGTGGCCAGGCATGAGATGAATTGTGTTGGCTCTAATAAGTATTCTCTTGTCTCCTCTAGCTTCTAAGTCTTGGGACTATAGTACAGCTGGGAGACATCAAGCTGTTCAGCAAGGTTGTATTCTAGTAGATGCTGTTCTTTGTTATTAAAAAGCAAGTTGTTAAGATCGGGAGGCGTTGGTCTTGGCACACGTGATGCCAAGACTGGGAATGGCAGGACTCACAAAACAGCGTCACGTGGAGCCCTTGTGATGGAGAACTATCCCAGCAAGTCATTTTTACTATCTCCTCTGCTTGTCACAGTGCCTGGGGTTGGGCTGAGTAGCACTGGAGCTGGAGAAATAACAGCTCCATCTGTGTACGTCATTGTATCGTAAAAAGAGGAACGTACTCAAAAATCAACGGATCTACATCGGTATTTCGGTGGCCCACCGTAATATCGGGATATGCGGCCAATCAATACTGCTAACTAAGGAGCCATTGTCTCGATCGGGCAAGGATGTGCCTGTCTAGCTCGACCCATGGGTAAGACTTTTCCGCTCGGATGGATGGAGCTTCTATTTATTCTCTTGTCCCTGAAAGCGAGGAGGTAAAAAGCGAATTAAATGGCAAGTCTTAAAGGGAATTCATTTTTGATTTTTCTTTTATTCATTTCTTGCTGTCTATTGTCGCTATTTGAACCCCGTACAGAGTACTCCTATATCAGGTATACTCTGTACTCGGTAATACTCTATCGGCCGAGTGGATTGCCGATCGGGATGGCGACGATCGGATCGGCGCTCATCTAATCATCGGCATCTTCACGCCTCGGAATCCCGAACGCAAGCAATCACAATCACCAGCTCACAGCACAGTCACCACCCTCACCCATGGTCTGCCCGCTCCACTCGTTTCACCAGCTGTTTCTACTCCGTATTATTGAAACAATGACTTTGCCACAGCACCTTCGAGAACGACATCGAGAACGGCCCAGAGCGTGGCCTGCCGGTCTTCGGGATCCACAGTGTTACGAACTGAAAAATTCGCAGACGCAGGACGAGTAGAGTACAGAGACAGACTAGACTAGACTAGACTACTCCAGTCTCCAGCTTCTGATTCCCCGTCTCCCCCCATTCGCGTGATCACACTCCAGCGGGGCGACTGCGCGGAGAGCGTCCCCCAGCGAATCCCCAGGTGCTGGCCTGCTTCTCCTTGCGTGAAGACATGGCTGGTACAAAAGCCTGTCGGGCCCCGTTTCTGGACTGGGGTTTTACAATTTGTGTGATACTACACTCTCCTTTTTTTTTCTGCCCTCACTTTTTTGACACCATTGAGCTCCCTCCAGGCACTTAATATCTATTTTTCTGAAGACAACAAGGCCACCTATATACAGCTATGGGCTTCAAGCTCAAGAAGCCCGACGACGCCGTCGGGTCTGCTGCCCCGGCCATCCTCATCGGCTGCTTTGTGGCCTTTGGAGGTGTGCTCTTTGGGTGAGTAGTCAGTCCTGCTAACAGAGAAGTCCTGTTAACAATCGTAGATATGACACCGGCACCATCAGCGGCATCCTGGCCATGAAATACTGGCGCCGTCTCTTCTCGACCGGCTACATCAATCCCGCCGACGGCCTGCCCGACGTGACCTCTGCGCAGTCGTCCGAGATTGTCTCCCTGCTGTCTGCAGGAACCTTCTTTGGCGCCCTGACTGCCGCCCCCGTTGCCGATTTCTTTGGCCGTCGCATCTCCATGATCCTCGAGTGCTTCGTCTTCTGCTTCGGCGTCGCCTTGCAGACGGCCGCCACAGCCATTCCGCTGTTCGTGGCTGGTCGATTCTTTGCTGGGTTCGGTGTCGGTCTGCTTTCTGCGACGAGTAAGTGAAAACGCCATATTTGTAAGTAGCACTGATGCTGACGTCGTTAGTTCCTCTCTACCAATCTGAGACGTAAGTTTCCTTGACATTTCTAAATTCATCAGCATAGGCTTATGATGATAGCTCCCCCAAATGGATCCGAGGCGCCATTGTCGGCTGCTACCAGCTGGCCATCACTGTTGGTCTTCTGCTGGCCGCCATTGTCAACAACGCGACTAAGGATCGCAACGACACCGGCTGCTACCGCATCCCCATTGCCGTCCAGTTTGCCTGGGCCATCATCCTCATTGTCGGCATGCTCATCCTGCCCGAGACGCCGCGGTTTCTGATCAAGCGGGGCAAGCATGAGGCGGCAGCCAAGTCGCTCGCTCGTCTTCGTCGTATCGATGTGGACAACCCGGCCTTGACCGCCGAGTTGGCGGAGATCCAGGCCAACCACGAGTACGAACTCAGCCTGGGCCAGGCGTCGTATATCGAGATTCTTCGCGGAACCCTGGGCAAGCGTCTTGCCACGGGTTGTGGAGTGCAAGCTCTGCAGCAGCTGGCGGGTGTCAATTTCATCTGTGAGTCCTACATCCACTTTTGACGCAATATTTTTTTTTTGCTAACCTGCCGACCAGTCTACTACGGCACATCATTCTTCCAGAACTCGGGGATCCAAAACTCGTTCGTCATCACCCTCATCACCAGCATCATCAACGTGGCATCGACGTTCCCGGGGCTCTACATGGTCGAGAAATGGGGCCGTCGGCCGCTGCTGCTGTTCGGTGCGGTGGGCATGTGCGTGTCGCAGCTGATCGTGGCCATCGTCGGCACGGCCGCCTCGTCCGTCGTCGCCAACAAGGTGCTGATCGCGTTTGTCTGTCTGTACATCTTCTTCTTTGCCAGCTCCTGGGGCCCCGTCGCCTGGGTGGTGACGGGCGAGCTATTCCCGCTGAAAGCGCGCGCGCGATGCCTGTCCATCACGACGGCCACCAACTGGCTGCTCAACTGGGCGATCGCGTACGCGACGCCGTACATGGTCAACTCGGGCCCCGGAAATGCGAACCTGCAGTCCAAGGTGTTCTTCATCTGGGGCGGGTTCTGCTTCATCTGCATGATCTTCGTCTACTGCTGCATCTACGAGACCAAGGGCCTGACGCTGGAGCAGGTCGACGAGCTGTACGCCAAAGTCCCCGTGGCATGGCAGTCGCCGGGCTTCGTGCCGTCGGTCAACTTTTGCGATGTGCGCGACGTGGCAGATGGGAGCAAGGGGGGGATGTCGCTGGCGGATCTGGAGGCGGGCGCTCAGGAGAAGCGGACGGCCGATCATGTCGAGAGGGCGGAGTCGTAGTCTATCATTTTTTTTGGAATGTACATGATTTTCATATAGATATATAGATGATCTATTTTCTAGACATAGACCCATAGACGACATACCATAATAATGACACTGACGTTTTACTTTATTTACAGCTAGTTCAGCCTCCAATCTAGATGCATCCCTTATCATCATGTATTCGGACAGTGTACTGTACCTACCCACCTAGGCAGAAAGACGTAGTTCCATTTCCATTCTATCCTGTCCTACTAATTCAACCACATGCACATACAATACAATACATATTGGAGATCAAGGCACATTGCACATTGCAGGCTAAGTAAGAAGCCCAACGTCATGGCATCTATTTCTTTTTTTGTCCCCCTTTATCTATGTATGCATAATGCTATCTATAATCTGGTATAGGGCTATGGCGGTGCTAGCGTAGCTTTTGGAGGAAAGATCTAGTCGAGGTAATCGATGTGTTTGTGGAGACCTCGTACAAAAAAATAACTACAAAGTCTTCGATATAGCCTTGAGAGAAAGGTTTTTTTTCTTCTGTTATATGTAGGCAGCACTATTGATATAAATAACGCATTGGTGCAACCTTGAGGACCTCCTGACCGCAATGGGAGATGACCACGACAATCAAAAAAAAAAATCTGCAGAAATCGGGGTGCGTCCGAAAGCTTTATCGATAGATAGATAGAAGAAGGATAGGATATCGCACATCCCATGACAGAAAAAAAAATAAAGTCACAACCTGCCAAAGCAGCGATAATCGGACAGTTATGTCTGGTTCTGGTTCGGTAAATGGCATTGAGACTGACCTCGAATGTTGATAACCGCTCTCTGCCCTTGCGTTCGACCTTGCCCGTCTTTGGTAGTGACGAAGACAGGGGTTATCCAGACAGGGTATGATATATAGGACGGGCAAGGCAGAGAGGTCGAATAGGCAGTAACGCTAAGGACGAGCGACGTTGATCAGCAGCTAAGGGGAGCTAGCTCCCTGTCCCCAGTACGAGTGGTTCACAAAGATAGGGATTCTCCTGGTGTGCATCCTGAGGGCGGCCAATTGGGGGAGGTTGGTATTGCTTGCAAAAGCAGACTCGTATTAATAATAGAAAGAAGGCTGATATTAGTTACAGGGAAAAGCTTAGCATTAAAGGAGAAGCCTAGTATTAGAGATGAGAGTTACCTTTATTTTAATATAAAATCATAATAGAACTATATATTTATTAGGATCATCAGTACAGAATTTATTAGCCACCAGGTTAGTAAAATAATCTTAGAATTTTTTTTCCTATTAAAGAAAGCCCTAGAGATAGCAGCACATGGTCCTTTTTAAAATCTCAGCAGAACAGGCATTAATCTAAAATGCAACAACTTTATCTATAAATAGATAAGAGTTTCTTAAGAGAAAGGGTAAGTCCAGCCCATTTGATGTAAGGAAAGAAATGGTCACAGTGGAAGTTTAAATTATTGGTCAAAATTTGCAAAACTGCTAACGATGTAGTCCATATAGAAAGAAGCACAGGGAGGGATTTCCATAGGGTTCCTCCAAATGAACCAAAGACGGTTCGGAATCTGGTTCTGCAGCCAGTCTAAGGGCAATGCTCATTAGCTCTGTTGTTAGTAAATCCAGCAGTTCGAGATCCTTGGGACATTATTCATGTAGGCTGGAGTTACTCAAAGCTAGGGATTATGAAGGCAGAGACGTGGCGATCTCTTTTATTTTGAGGAGTAGTAAAACGGCAAAATATCTATGTTTGATGTCCGCGTAGAAAAAAGGTCTTTTAACAAGGATTAGACAGGAATTCTTGACAATCTTTGATTCCTCACACTGCGCTTGTTGGTAATCATACTTGCAATTACATTTGGATTCATAATCATCAATGCCACTTAATACCCATTTCTCATCAGATGATGATGATGCTGGATCACATAGGGCACCACGGCTCCTAAAGCTCGTCGGAAATAAACAGCATCAGCATCAAACTCAAAGATATGTCAACGTTCCGTCTGGAGATGACTCAGCTTGTGGAACAGAGGAACAAATACAGTATACTACAATATATATGATAATAGGCGCTATCCCTTAGCTGGTGGAAAGTGTTCAAATGACTGCTGTATTTTATAAAAGGTTCAATAATTGAATAACCAGTCGTAAGATAAAGTGAGTTATTGTCATAGTTCAGGCAGTAGAGATACTGTCTTCGATCCTTTGATCCAACACCAGCATCCTATTATCTATCATGTTATTGGTTGATCAATCGCTATGATTAGCTACCTACCTAGGTAGCCCATCAGGCCACCCATGCCACTATTATTTATCGACGTGTTATTGTCGACCGTGATGCTGCAGAGTAAGAATCTCTCAGGGTTGTTGTCCACGTTGGAAATACCTATTAGGCCGAAAAAAAAATTAGACCAAAGAAAAAAATAATAATTTTCCTAGCTTTATAGGTCAGTTTTTAAAGTCAACACAGTACAGTACATGATACTGCCAGCCCTAAGTGAGTGAGTGGACTTGACTGCAAACACCCCAACCTCAACCAACCAACCAACCAACTCGTGGGGGCCAAATGCAGTGGAATACCATAGTCACTAGGTCATTCAAAGCCATGTAAACTACCAAAAAAAAAGTCTCCTACAACGTAGTCTTCGGTCCAAATACTTCCAGACCCAACCAACATATGTTACGACATTCGCTTAGGAAGTTGGTTGTCCCATGTCACCCGTTTACCTTCAGCTCATTTATAAATAGTTGAAGGGGATAAGCAGAGAGACTCCCCTTTCGATTGGCTACCGAGGATAGACGAGAGCTTATATCAACTTCTCACTGAATTTTCTCCTTTATTTCCTCGTCGAGACATCTTGTAGGCTGTTCTCGTTATAGGCAGCGATATGAAGCATACAGTCCTCATACTATACCATACTATACTGATACTAGACTAGCATAGTCTGGTATGCACCAAAAATACATACTAACTGGATGATGTTGGTCTGCAAACCCCGCTGCCCCTCTGATTGACCCCACCTGTTGATAGGATTAAAATTAATTAAACTTGACTAACTGTTGTCAAAGTTGGCGCTTGACCCATAGCTAACCTTCAATTTACGATTAACTATGCAGGATAGTGCCAACAACTTCATCATGACAGGGTTGGTTACAGCACAACCCTGGGATGATCATTGTCTAGACACATGTCGAGCGCAGATCTCTTACCACAACGATACACTGAACAGGCAGTGGGGAAAAAAAAATAATAGGCTGCATGCGGCCTAGCTTATACTTATTTCCAGGACTATAATTATACTCACTCATTTATTAAAGACTGGAAATTCCATCCTCAAGTCTCACACGTCACTCCCACAGCTCCATCCAAACTACTTCTTTCTCAGCAAAGCTGTGAAGATGGAAGTCCCTAAGCATGTTGCTATCATTGGCGCTGGGCTGTCGGTAAGCAACTATATCCTCGTCGTACCTTTTGCCAGCCATCTCACATGGCTTGTATAGGGCCTCAGTCTTGCCCTGGCGCTGAAAAAAGTCAACATCCCCTGCACCGTCTACGAAGCCCGCGCCGAATCCTACGACGTCGGCGGCGGCATCACCCTCTCGCCCCACGCCCTGCGCATCCTCGCAAGCTGGGCGTGTACCGGCGCGTCTACGACAAGGGCTTCCACTTCGACACGCTCTCCTTCTGCGATGGCGACGGCCATGTGCAGGACGTCTACTACTTTGGCTCCGAGAAGCTGTACGGCTACCGCGCCTTCCGCATCATCCGGAAGCTCCTGATCAACGAGATGAAGCAGATGCTGGCCGACCAGGGCGTGGAGATCCAGTTCAACAAGCGCTTCGCCCGCATCGTCGCCGAGTCGGCCGACGCGTCGACTTCGAATTCGCCGACGGCTCGACGGCCTCGTCCGCCCTCCTGGTGGGCGCCGACGGCATCCACTCGACGGTGCGTAACTACGTCGCTCCCGGCGTGAAGCCCGTTTACTCGGGCTTCACGGCCATCAACTGCATCTGTCCGCGCTCGCGCCTGCGCATCCCGGACAACTTCCCCCTGCCGGCCACCGTCATGGCCAAGCCGGGGGCCTCCCTCATCGTGCCGCAGGAGATTGACGGCTCTGACCTCCTGATCGGCGCGCAACGCCGGTTCCCTGAGCGCGACAAGGCCGGCTGGGACAGGGACTGCTGGACATGCTGCGCGAGAACAAGGATGACTGGCCGGACATTGTGCAGTCGGCGCTCGAGGGCGCGCCCGTCGAGAACATGGGCATCTGGGCCTTCTACGGCATCCCCAAGCTGGACAAGTGGGCGAGCCCGGCCGATCGCGTCATCGTCGTGGGCGACGCCGCGCACGCCATCCCTCCGACGGCCGGGCAGGGCGTCAACCAGGCCTTTGAGGACGTGAACATGCTGGCGCTGCTGCTGTCGAAGCTGTCGCCGCAGGTGCCGCTGGCAGAGGCGTTGAAGTTCTGGCAGGACTACCGACAGGCGGGAATCGACAAGGTGCTGGAGCTCACGCAGCAGATGAACGCCAAACGCCTGCCGCCGGCGGAGCAGGCCAAGCTGCCGCCAGGCGCCATCTGGAAAGATGAGTCGGCGACGCGAGGCGAGGGCGGGCAGCTGCGGTGGCTGTATGAGCCGGATCTGGACGAGGATGTGGCCAAGTGGATTGCTGCGAGGGAACATAGCTAGAATAGACCGCCTGGCATCCAAGCTGGTTAGATTTGCCGTATAGACAGTTGAAGTGGTCAATTTGTATGCCTAGCAGATTTTTCCAGTCCGCATCCTAGCTTATATATTAGTCTACGTTTAGATATATCTTTAATTTATTTAATGAACAATATAGCTAGTCAGTTGTAAAAATAATAATTATTTATAGTATTCTTATCTTATAAAACAAAGTATACAAAAGAAATCGAAGTTATTAAGGAAAGAATCCAGCTCTAATACTTACTAGGCTACCTAAAAATAAAAACCTTAAAATGTAACCCGGTAGTGCTCAACTAATTGATGCCTATCTTATTTCACTCTCCATATAATCCTTTGACGAGAAATGCCTCCCACATGCGACCATAGGGTGTGGAAAACAGGGCTTCCCGTCCGCTCAGCCGTACTTAAGCCACACGCCGGCTGGTTAGTAGTTGGGTGGGTGACCACCAGCGAATCCCAGCTGTTGCATGTTTTTTTTCTTTTTCAACTTTCAAAAAAATAGTAGGGTAGTCTGAACTATAATCTGTCAAAATAAAACAAGGTGCCTCATGTGTGAGAAGTGAGCTCTCAGCTATTTTTTTTATTTTTCTAAGAAAGAGCCTGCATGTTTGTCCCAGTTGGAAGTTCTTTCGTACGTACAGAGTAGTTTCCATTCGTAGTCACTAATTGATATGTTTTTTTAAGGATTTATATTAATTCCCTATAAGAACCAGCGACATAGTCGAGCAGTTGGAATTAGGCAGTCACCTAAATTATACTCTGTATCAGGTCATAATATATTTTTTTATTTAATTTTTTTACTGCTAGCTCTGATTCCAACATCCTACAGAGATCCATCTAATGTAACAGTCCATCGAAAGGATAGTATGTAGCGGAATATTGATGACGAAGGTGAAAAAGAAGCTAGTCGAGAAGCCCGATCTGCATCACGGACTAGCTTGACTCTGACAGCAATGATAGCATAGTAGCTTATAAATTAAGTGCTAAAAATGATTGCTAAGATTGACTCACTTTAATCATGTCAGAGATGTCCTAGATGAATGCGATGGCTAGTCAAAACCAACAGATGATACCGACCATCCAACGTGATTGGTACAATTGTTGTACGCTAGTTATGCACAGCCATTCCGTGCCAGTCCGTACGCCTGGATTCGGGACAATAGATTAGGCCGATTTGATGATTAAATACGGATGCATTCTTCTTTCACTGAGAGATAATAAATCGACATTATATAACTGCCGTCGTCAATTCCCACGAAAGAACGGGGGTATGTGCAATGGCTGACACAACAGAAAATCGGGATGTCAAGATTACGCTTTACTGGTGTGGTCACTCCCCAGATAGAAATGAATATTCCTTAATTGACCAGTTGCAATAGGCTTAACGAGTCTCGCGCCCAGAACATCCTCTGGCTGCTGGAGGCCCTTCAATTACCGTACCAGCTGAAACCCTTTAAGCGCGGCCCTGACGGCTTTGCACCCGCCGAGCTGAAACAGATCCATCCACTCGGCAAGTCGCCCGTCGTCACCATTGAGCGTCCAGGGCAGACACAGCCATTGGTGCTTGCTGAATCAGGCAATATCATCGAGTACCTCGTTGACCATTTCGGCGGTGTCGAGAAGGGCCTCGTCCCTCAGCGCTATGTTGACGGCAGCGGCGAAGAAACCGAATCCTGGCTGCGATATCGGTTCTTCATGCATTATTCCGAGGGAAGCTTGATGCCGAATTTGTTGCTGGCATTGATATTAAATAGTGCGTACATACGACTGTTTTATATAACTCACCGATTCTGACTAACTTTAATAAAAAGACCTCCGAAACGCACCAGTCCCGTTCTTCATCAGACCCTTCATCAGACCCTTCACCAGAATGATTGCTAACCAGATCCAAACCTCCTTTCTGGACAAGCAATTCGCTGTCCATTTCCCGTTCTTGGAGAATCAGCTGAAGACTGCCCCAGGTGTGGACAACACTGACACTATCAAGCGTGGTGGGCTTTGCGGCAAGGATTTCACTGCAGCCGACATGCTGATGAGTTTCGGCCTCATCGCTGCCACGGAATTTGGCTTGATCACCAAGGACAAGTTCCCGGAGATTGTGGCATATACTGAGCGAATCAAGGCGGATGAGGCGTACAAGAAGGCAGCGGCAAAGGCTGCTGAGATTAGTGCTTCTCTGTGATGTTTTTTTTTGTATCTCATGGTTAATACCTTGTATAACACTCCTCTCTGATCGCTGTATGTGCTCACCTGTCTTTGAATTATAATGATCAATCTCTATGATAATATACGATGAACTAATAGACTACATTTATTGCCAAAGTAGAACTATTCAAATCAGACCCCTAATCTGACTTGTCTTTTGGCAGTCCTTTTTTGTAGGCGAAATAGAGAGATACAAGCTAAAAAGAAAGAGGATTACTTATTAATGAATGTAAGACTTATATATAGCCTGGGGTCTAGGCTTATTGAAAAAAAAAGAAAAGAAAAAAGAAAAGAAAAGAAAAGAAAAGAAAAAAGGTGAATATAATACTCAAGGCCCATAGAACTTGTAGACTAAAGGTAGATTAGCTTTACAACCTAGGTATAGACCAAACACGTAGCTAAAGGTAAAGGTATTAAAACCCTTTTGAGGGATGCTGAGTCTTAGCAACTAGTTCTAGTACCATTCTTAGTTATTAAATAAGACCATATTATATCCTAAACATCCCGTCATGCTCTACTACTGTATCCTCCCCAAGGCCTGTACGGACTGGATGTGTTAGTAGATAACAACGTGGCTGCGCTGTTTTCCTCGCGTTGATTACAGCCAGTCCAGTTAGGGCATGACAGTATGCTGGCAGATAATCTATGGAATAAATAGTTGTATTCTCACAAAAGAGCTTTTTCTACCAGAATCTCCTCCCTTTTCGGTTTAGTTTCGACTTCCCCCACCCGTTTAGTATGGTAGAAGAGAACACTCAGAAAATTCTAAGAAGCCTTCCACTAAAGCTTTAGTTAAAGCCTTCCCTAAGCTTTAACTAAAGCCTCACCCAAGTGTTCCCTAAGCTTCCCATAAAGCTCCCTATAAGGCTCCCTACAAAGTTTATTATGAAGCTTCATATAAGCCCTATAATAAAGCCCTATGGGCTTCACTGGGGCTTCGCTATAGGCTTTACAGGAAATTTATTTATAGGGACTTAAGAAAACTTTGATATTTTTTCCTTTACCACGTCAAAACAGATACTGTATTACCCCTACTCCGGCGTAGGAGTCAGACGAGATCCATTCATAGGTCCACGGGTGCATGCCAAGGCTATCCTTTTCAGGGTTAGTGCTTACATCACGTCGTGACGTTGGTGTAATTTGGCCCATCAGGCGGGTCCCAGCAAGGTTGGTCTACACTACACTATACACTAATGCAGTGTCGCCAATGTTGGCTGCCGTACTCCGGAGTAAAGTAACCACTACGAAGCGCTCATCACCTTCAATCCTTGTCTGCAGTCGATCGCTTCGCAACTTGGGCACACGGGCATACGGGCAAATAATAAAATGACCAGGTGGTCAGATCCTTCTTACGGCCACCACTTTTTCCGTGCCAATGGGATAGCTCGCCAGGTGGGTGATACGCCTGGCTGAATTCTCCTGACACGCCTGCTTCAAGAGGGGTTCAAGGCTTATTCTCCCCTTCATAATAAATAAAAAAAGGCTGAAGGCGCCAGCCTGCTTTCAAATAGGCTCGCTGATAATATCTCGATGAAAAAAAAAACAAGAAAGAAAGCGAGAGAGCAGAAAAAAAAAGAACTCGATGAACATTCATGATTATCATACGTGGAAAAAAAAACGCCTCATTTCTCCATCCAGCACCATAATTTGGTTGGACGAGCTCTTCTTCCCCTTCTCGGCATGGGAAGAGAAACTGGGGTCACCGGGGTCGTTTTCGCACAATACTGCCCGCCTTCATTTGTCTCCGCTGGCTGGGCAGCGTGAGACCGCAGATACTGGTGCAAGATCCCTCGAGCATGACCCGGACGGATATGAGGACCCTGGACCGACTGTGGCAGTGGTTCGAGGAACATCATGAGAGGACCATCCAGCTGGCGTTTCGGATCTCGAAATTGAACATCCTGCGCGATCTGAAGAGCGAATGGCACCTCTTCCATCGGGCGTATATGTTGCTGAATGACATGTTGAACAATGAATGGGAAGCCATGGGCCATAACAGGATGGAGATGATCATCTAGTGAAGTAACCTTTCTTTTCTTTCTTTTTTCTTTTTCCCCCTTTTTTCTTTTTACTTATATATGATATACAAGCCTTATAAGTTTCACTTCGCTCTGCAAGGGCTTTGCTATGGGCTTCACCATCGCCTTCGCGGGGGCTTACAATTGGGGGTTCTAGCTTCCACAAATCATGTAACAGTGCGTACAAACTGAAGTTGATGTTCTATAGTACATGTGTCGAAATGTCAGAAGAAGCAACCTCATGTTGACTAGGGAGACCAGTAAGTGAGTGCATGGGAAGAGAATATACAGACTCCATCACTTTCGTTGTCACAAACTTCCCATAAATCTATCTAGAGAGCTAGAGGGAACATGTGATCATGCCCTATCTATATATATTATATCAGATAGAGTAGCTAAAAAAAATATCAGATAAAATGGCTCACCAGTAAACTCTCTAGTTAACGAGAACAAGGATTCAACTATGTTGCCAGTTCTTATAGGAAATAAGCCCTTAAAATAAATATAGGAGAATTATTGATATCAATTACTAAGAATAAACAGAGGGTCGGAAAGAAAAGGAAAAATCCAACACACTGCGAACAAACAGGCGGGCTCTTGCTTAGAAAATTAAAAAAAAAAGTACTGACACATTTGAAAGTATTTATGTATGTACAGTACATTCACATTATCTATAGTATATGTAATATTATGTCCACATATATACCTACCGTCACGTACAACCCCTCGGAACCCGACACACAGCCCTCGCATCCTCCGGCACCGTCCGCCAAATCACCTCCAGCACCTCCCGCCCAACCTGCTCAATAGCATCCATCGCCCAGAGCACGTCCAGATGCTCGTACTCGTCGATGATCTTCCAGTGCACCAGCCGCACGTGCGGCTCGCGACCGTTCTGCAGCCGCCGCAGCAGTCGCCGTCCGTCTACGAGGTCGTCGGCCCCTGCGATCCACAGCGCAAACGGGGGTACTTGCGGACCGTACCATGCGTTCGAGCCACGCTCCTCGCCGCTGTCGTCGACGTCGACGAGTCCGTCCGCGTACCGCCGGTCTTCTTCTTCTTCCTGCTGGCCCTGCTCCCTCGTCGAGAGGATGCATTTCTGCCGCGCGAACCCGTCTCGCCCCAACCACCAGCGCATGCTCTCCGCGCTGACGTACACGGGCGCAAACTGGAACATCCGGTCGCGCAGAGCCCGGTCCCATCGTACATCGGTCCAGCCGAATAGATACGAAAACACCCGGTACCCCAGCGCGCCGTAGACCCGCGGAGGGAGAAGCCTGTGCATGGTCATCATGAACGGGATAAAGGCGTGGATGCCAAAGCACAGCCGGAACATGCTTGGAGAGAGCATGCTCATGAACCGAAAGTACATCTTCTTGATCAGGGGCCCCGCATAGGCAGCCGGCGCCAGAGCGCAAAACACCGAGATGCGCTCCCCCAGCTCGGGCCGTTGGTCCTTGGCCAGCGCGACGAGCGTCTCCGACGTGCCCTGGCTGTGGCAGACCAGCGCCAGCTTCTCGAACCCCGTCTCGTACAAAACTCGAGACACGAGCGCAGGCAGGTCGAACACGCCCATATGGCGGATATTCCAGGCCCACATGCGCGGATCCGAGTATGACAACGTCGCGTGCTCCGGGTCGAACCCGCAGCGATTGTTCCCCAACCACACATCATATCCGGCCTTGCACAGATAAAACGCCAGACTGTCGTCGTCATTGGTGCAGTACGCGCCGGCGCTTTGCAGCAGGCCATGGATCAGCAGGACAGGGTACCGGCGGTTCGAGGACGGGAGCGGTCTCTCATTTTTGTCGTAGAACACGTCTGGCCGACGGGGACCTCTCTGCTCAGCCGGCAGCGGCGTATACTCCTTCGGATTGTAGACATGCCACAGCGTGAGGATGAAGCCATCTTCCGTTTGCACTTTGAACGTCTCCACATCGAGACCAACCCTCCTCGCATAATATCCCACGTCGCATACGATCGGGTCCTTTCCCCCTTCCAACGGCGGGAATTCATCTTCAGCAGCCCCGTCCTCGCAATCTTCATCCTCTGCAGTCTCCAAAGTCTTGGTGAGGTCCTTTCCCAGCGTCTTCCGTTGTCGACGCTTCCACCTTCTTGCCGCCTTCTGCCTAGCAGTCCTCCTTTCCCTCTCTTCTTCATGGAACCGTCGCCGTGTGGCTGGGTTCCGCCGCCATAGTCTCGTGCCGAGGTTTCTCAATCCAACCGAAACGCCACTTAGGCAGGAACCCATCACAATGACGCCCAGGAAGGACAGCGACAGACAGAAGGAGATCGCGCGGAGAGCCTGCCATTGCATGCTGCGCAGCAGCGACGGAGGACCGTACGTAGGAAGAGGGGGGAAGAGCGGGTGGGTGTGCGCCGCGGCATCGAATCGACGCGCGGGCTGCATCTCGAGCTGCTTTTCAGTCGTCACCTCCGAAGACTCTGGCGATGGATCATCATCGTCCGGGACGACGACTTTCTGGTCCCCATCAGCAACAGTCTGGACGATAGCATCTCCCGCCGCGGCGTTCTTTTCGTCCTCTTGGCTGCTGCGACGACGCAACGACAGCTTCTGCTGGTGAAAGCGGAGGGCCGCTGCAAAGGGGGTTCCATGCCGGACGGAGGTCGAGGTCGATGCGAAGGTGGCAGGTGACATGTTCACGTGGGCGAAGGATGATCACGGCATTATTAGCATTATCATTAGGATATCGTCACATTGACATTGAAATCCAGTAACAGCGGAAAGAGGAATTTCTCCAAAGGACGCCAGACGAAGCAAAAAAAAAAAGATGAATATATACCGAAGAACGAAAGAAAGAAAGAAAAGGCGAAACTGAGTCTGGATGTTCACAGTTTCCAGGAGGTCGAAACTCCGACTAATCTCGGGAGACACGTGCTCGCGCTTATCGCCGGGTCACGTGAGAAGCCACTGACGAAGCCCACGTGACAGGAGCAGCTGCATAGGTAACCAATAGATAGCAATAGGCTGCACCAGATAACTGCTAAAAATATCAAGAAATGAAGATACGCCCTACTCCGTATTGTTCTCTGTGTCAGCTATCAAATATCAATCAGTAGATCTTCACATGCCAGTGGCAAGTACAGTAAACTTCGCACGTGCGGAGCCAAGCGGGGAGGACCGCGCTAGTTAAGTCTATTTGCTAGCTGGTCGATGATTGGACGGGGTGGCGAAGGACAAAAGGAGCTTCAAAGGACTCTACCTACAGTACTTTATACTGGGTAGGTAGTCTCTTTCTTCTTGTCTTCTACAGCTTTAGATCTTAGTTACGGCAACCAAATAGATTCAGTTTTTTTTTTTTCGACAAGACAATTAATTCTATGACTAACTAGATAGGGGCTCTCATATGACAAAAAAGAATGGAAAGACATCAGAAGAACATCGTGAAAAAGTCATGGAGAGGTGTCGTCAATATGATACCATCGAAAAAGAAAAAAAAAATCAGTTTGCTTCGCGGGTAGTAAATAGCACCCGACGGCAATGAATGGCGCACTGTAGTTCACTCAGGCTTTCTACCGTACACCACCCAGCTAAGAGCAGCAGTTAGTTAGGTCTCTTAAGGAAGTAAATAATACTAAAAGCCAGATCAATAATTAACTTACAAGTCCATTATTGCATGGATATCGCGATTCTTGAGGTCATTTTTAGCCCCAGCAGCAAGAACGGTGACTTCCTCCGGCTTCCAGTTTTCGTATCTCGTCAGCACGGCCATGGCGCCTCCCTCGAAAGCTTCCGAGACGATCACGCGAAGCCAAGCGCCGATTTCTTTCTGTTAGTCGTTAGTAAATGAAGAAGGGAAAAACGAGGAGGAGGAGGAGGAGGAGGAGGAGGAGGAGGAAAAATCATCACATACGTAATATGGATCTTTGGGCCAGACACTCATCGGCACGGGGTATTTCCGAACATGGATATCCACAAACCCGGCTTCACGGAACCACTCTTCCAGATATCGCCCGGGGCTTGCTGGGTATCCTGCCCTCTCAAAGGCATTTACTACCTCTGTATAATACCTCTGAAGGGCTGTGCCCTCAAGACTTCCATCCTCAGACCGAATCCGGCAATCCCAGTCCTGGAACTCGACCCAGCCTCCAGGCTTGGTGCAGCTGATCATCAATCATATTAGTAGAGCCTTCGCCAGTGGCCTTAGCGAGTAGAGAGAAGAACTTACTTATAGGCCTGTCTTATCAACTTCTTAAAATCCTTGATCGAGTGGCATAGGTACCGAGCATGGATAAAGTCAAATGGAGTCTTCTCGTATCCCCAGTCATCTTCGATATCGTCGACGAGGAATTTTACATTTGGCGGAACCCTTTATAGGATTATTTATTAGCTGTCTTTTTTCAACTATGGCAGCGCCAGGGGTGAAGGGGTTGGGGAGATTGCTGACTTACATAGTTGGCTGAGTAGGACTCAGATCATTGCCAATGACCTAAAGAGACATCTTAGCCACTGTATTGTTTCTCTCGCAGTAGAAGGCTAAATTACCTCTGCGGAAGGATACTTGTCGGCTGCAGAATAATGCCAGGTAAGTCTCAGGCAAGCACAATAATAGGATTGTTGACCACTCCTTACCGAAATCAATTGCCCATATTCCAGTCCCAGTCGCAAGGTCAATGACCCGCGATGGTGACGGCCCAATAGGTGCCAGAAATAGCTTTCCTTGCATCACCTTCAGGCACAGTTCATGTGCCATGTCTAGTCGATCGGACTCGTCTTCATCATTTGGTAAGAGGTACTCTACCAGGAGGGTATGTGATTAGCAAGGATACCGAATCAGACGCAGGATTGTTGGTTCGTTTGGGAAATAGGTGGGCTTACTTCCATCACGATAAGCGTGGTAGCGCCTGCCATTCTCAATACGGTAGTCCTGCACGGAAGAGGTCAAGGAAGCAGTATAAGTGGAACTGACATAAAATGTCAGTCGTACTGTATGGCTGCAATAGAGGTAAAAGCAGTCACGAACAGCTCCTCTCCGTAAGCAGAATCATTGTCAGTAGCCTGAGGTCCACAAAATCCGTTAGAAATCACGATCGTTATGGAAATGTAGAGATCACACTGAGTTGGTTGCATTTTACTAACCCGAGAGTCCACCTCGATGGGATCTTCACCATTCCGGTCACTTTGGATAGTAGGCCCGCTTTCGCCGGTAGGCTTGCTTGGGCTGGCAGGCTTGCTTTGGCCAGTAGTCTCCTTTTTTTGCGCTGGAGTTTTCGCCATGGTCGTGTCGAGTCCCGGTGGTATGGTTACTGGATAACACAAGGAAGCAACAAAAGAGCAACATTGACGGACTCAAACAGGGGTTGTAACCGAATTAGCGCTTTTATAACCGAAATGGATTGCCACGGCCTTTGGTTCAGTGCGGGGACATTGGATCGTTAGTCGCATCTGTAGCGAGCCGAAAAGGGAAAAAAGATAACAACTAGTTACTCGAACAGGTTACCGATAGGCCTATTTCTCAACGTCTTATTGGGTATTCGATGCATTGATTACGTTATTTTCCCTGAAGACAGACGGTGAGTACGCCGTAGGCAACTAGTTAGGTGACTAGTTAGTTTGCTAATTAGCAGGAGGGGCATTATGTGGCCGTCGACCATGTGGCATGTGCCAAGTGGGAAAGCATTCTTCGACGCGATGTGTTGAGTTCGGCATTTGTTGTTCCCGCGCCAATCGTAACGCGCAAACATGCGGAGTAGAGAGCTCTCCAGCGGGCCGTTATTAGCCCCCGCCGGTTCTTCACTTCTTGGAGAGCCCCAAGCTAGTTCTTTTTGCTCCTCATCTGCGTGTAGTCACGTGACCGGGTAAAACGGCCACGGAAATGTTTATCTGATGAGATACATTTCGAAAACAAACAAGTTGGACTTGACTATAAACAAAAGGCTTCATTACGCAATTCCAGGTTATTCTTCTTCGCCAAGGAGAGACCCTTCGTGCACTGAGGTATTTTGATGGCATTATAAGCCTGGAATCCATCATGATATTTCCTGCCCTCTCATGACGGGAGTAAGAGGATTTTCATTCTGCTACAAGCAGAGATTATTCATACTACTTATACGGAGTATAGACAATGTTTCATATCTTGCTTGCTTGCTCGCCTGCTTTCTATCGCTATTCTATGGTAATACCACACAATCGACTATCAACCAGCCCATCCATCATCGATAAAGAGGTCTATAGAAAATCACCTCATTAAGACCTCATGATAATTCTACAGATTCGAAAGTATTTGCTCATTAATAACTTGAAGTTGTCCTGCAGGCGTTGGCTTCACCACACGTCATCCAGCCGGACGAAAAGTCGGGACTCGACCAAGGTCAAAACACCATCTAAACTGAGGACACACCATTGGAAGTAATATTTTCCGTCCCCCGGGCCAGCCTTGGCGCCAAGGTCAGCTTCCCCAAGATCGCAAACGAGGACGCACCGCTGGCCGCCGGGATATTGTTGGCGAGCCCCCTCTTGGCCGCAAAAGCGAGCGTCGCGAACTTGATCGCCTCCTTGTACGCGGCCGGCATCCCGAATTCGTCGCTGACGCACGTCTTCAGTCCGTGAGTCGCAAGGCGCTCCGTCAGGAATCGCATCAAGGTCGTGTTCCTCGTGCCCCCGCCGCTGGCGACGACTTTGGTGACGCTCGTTTTCGGCAGGATAAAGTCCACCAGCGCCCGCTCGATCGAGGTGGCAGTGAACATCGCCAATGTCGCCAGGAGGTCTTCGGTGGAAGCGGAGGCGTACCGCTCGAGAATGTCATCGGCGTAACGAGAGCCAAAGTCCAGTCGCCAGGCCGAGCGAGGGGGTTTGCGCTGGAAGAATTCATGAGCTTGCAGTTCGGCCAGCAGAGGCTCGATGATCTGTCCTCGAGCCGCCATCTCGCCATCCTTGTCGTACGATCGTCCAGTGCGCGCTCTGATGACATGGTCCAGCATCACGTTGCCAGGGCCGGTGTCGAAAGCCATCGTCTTGCTGCGATCGGCGTCGGCAAGCTGCAGATTGGCGATACCGCCATATTGAGCGTCACAGTCGGACCGTCATGACGGAAAGCAACAAAGTCTAGATACTGCACCAGAGGCGCCCCCGAACCGCCGAGAGCGTGGTCGACGGGCAGGAACTGGGTGACAGTGGTGATGTCAGTCAACGCCGCGACCACGCCCGACTCGACGATAAAAAAGCCGCAGGGGAAGCCCCCTTTCGTCCAGAGGTCCACCAGACTCTTACTGCCGCTGGATATGTAGTCCGCAATCTTTTGTCGGTCTGGCGGTTCTTGGTAGACAGTCTGACCGTCATACCCCAGAACCTCGACCTCCTCCGGCTTCACACCCGCCTTCGCGAGCAGCTTGTTGGTGGCCTCAGCATACACAGCTCCGGCAGCGTAGTTGACCCGCGTCATGTCGAAGAGGGAGAGCTGGTTGTCGAAAGCTCGGATGACCAACGGGCGAAGCTCATCCGGCCAGTCCACCGTCAGAGCGTCGACGAATTTGGGTCGTGACGGATGGCCATCTTGATCAATGTCGATGGTGCACAGGACGGCGTCGACTCCGTCAAAAGAGGAGCCGCTGTTGAGGCCGACGATGTAGGGCATTGCGATCCGAAGGGTGAGAAAAGAGGGGAATTCGAACAGAAAGCAGGCAGTCAAGAGAAGACCCCGCTAACGACCTGATTTATATCAGGAGCGTCCAGACCCCCGGAGTCCTTGTTGGCGGAACCATCCAGACTGAGCGACCCTAAGGCTTGTCTATTGTCCACCAGCGATTGCAGCTCAAAACAAATCCCGATACCGCACTGACAACCATCCACTTCTCCACTCACTGCATCACCATGTCATCGGCGTGACTGACTGGCTTCGGGGAATGCTCCGACGGAGCCTTCCGATCGAGAAGCCCTATGCCCAATCAGGCAACTCAGCGGACTGTCAGTGGATGTCGAAGTTGCGGAGGCGCATTTCTGATGGGTCGAAGGAAGCCCGGTCCACTCTGCTGCAGCTGCATGCATGGCTAACTACCCCAGAATTCTTACCCCGGACTGGGGAAGAACGGAGGAGGCTCGCTGCTGGCAGTACGGAGTAGTATAAAATCCATAACGATCAACCACGACACTCTTGACCATGCCATGTCGCCCATTGTGATCTTTCCGGTGATATTGCTCGAGCGTGTATATCGTTTTTGTTTTTATTTTCTCGTCTGTCGGCTTTTCCATGCTCAAGACAAACTTCAAGGCCTATCGATGGGCCATCTTCTGCTGCGCCGTATCCTCTCTAGACGCCCTCTGTTACGGGTATGACCAGACATATTACACTGGCATTCTGGGCATGCAAACCTTCAAGAATGACTATGGCTATCTCGATCCAGCCACCGGAAAGAAGGTCCTCGCCACCTCGTTTACCGCCGTCACGACATCCATCATCTTCGTGGGCGAATTGCTGGGCGCGCTCCTCGCTGCTCTGATCAACGACCGGTGGGGTCGAAAGGCAGTTTTTCTATTCGCCTCCGTCTCCATCATCGCCGGAGGTGTTGCCCAAGTGAACGGGCATTGAAGGCGTCATCATCCTGGGCCGGCTCCCGATCGGAAACGGAATCGGCAACTTCACCGTCACCTGCCTGCTGTATATCGGTGAGATCGCGCCGCGGCAGGTTCGCGGCCCGGCCTTAATGATGTTCCAGTTCATGCAGTCGTGCTCGCAGTTGGTGGCCTCTGGCATTGACCAGGGCACCAACAGCATCGACTCCTCCGCATCGTACCGTATTCCCATGGGACTGCTGGTCCTCCTACCGACGCTGATGCTGCTGGGATTGCTGGTGATTCCCAAGAGCCCGACCTGGTACATGAACAAGGGCCGTCGCGCGGACGCGGAGAAAGCCCTTCGCGCCATCCACAAAAGCAACCCTTCTTACGACCCGGCCACCGACCTCGCCGCGTTGGATGAAGCCGTCCAACGGGAAAGAGACCGTCACGAAGCAGCATCTGCCGCGTCATCGTGGGTGGTATTGTTGAAAGATCCGATCGAACGGCGAAAGCTGGTCTATTCGTGCGGCTCGATGTGTGCACAACAGATCAACGGCATCGTCTTCTTCTACTCGTACGGAGTGATCTTTGCCCAGTCTATCGGGCTGTCTGAGGCCTTTACCATCTCCCTGATCACCAACGTCCTGCAGGTGTTCGCGGTCGGTGCATCCGTTCTCCTGGGGAACAAGGTCCGGCGCCCGACGAATCTTCTCGTGACGACTGGGATGATGTTCTGCGCGTACATCATCATCATCGGTGGAATCGCGACCAGACCGATCACCACGAGTCCTGCGATTGCGATCGTGGTCATCAGTTATGTGGTGATCGTCGCGTTTAACTTTGGCCTGGGTCCGTTGGCCTACACGGTGGCCAGTGAAGCCGCTGTGGGCCCGAACCGGAACAAAATCATGTCATGCTCAATCATCACGTTCTTTCTGACAACCTGGGTCGTCTCTTTTACCGCACCGTACCTATATTACAGTGAGAAGCTGGGACCGATGCTGGGATTTGTCTATGCCGGCACCACCGTGATCTCTCTGCTGTACATCTGGTTCTGCATGGGCGAAACCGCGGGTCGATCCATCCTGGAGGTTTCCTTGTTCTTTGAGAAAAGGATTCCGGTGCGCCATTGGCGAACCCATGTCTTTCCACAGGAGGAACTGAGTCGCGATGAAGATAAGAGAAGTTTGGATGGGAAGAACCATATGTGTGAGCAAGTAGAAGAGCCGTAGAACTAGACTAGGAACGCTGATCCAGGTTTCAATTTCACAAAGTGTAAATTGTGCCACGTTGACCTTTAAGGTATTGCCACAGAGTTGATTTCATTCGGTCCCTGTCAAAGGTGTCGAGTTCTGGAAATTGTGTCTGATATTCGTCAAAATTTCCAGGGTCCGGAGGATGCCTTGAGAAGTTTCTGTAACCCCAGACAGAATTTCCTCTACCATATCTAAGAGTTCACCGATCTCGGCGACATCCCGGAATGGTGCCGAAAAAGAAGGTGCCGTCTGCACTGATAGCAGGACGGCATAAGAGCCGACCAGCAGCTGGATGTCGCACCAATTTGGACCAGCCCGTGGCATAGGCACCTGACGCTGATGCTGGGCCAAAGTGAGAATGATCAGCTTGGCGCTTTCGATGCAGTCCCGACATGAAGCGAAGACCCATGGTTTTAGATGCTGCTCTGCGACAGCACTTACCCCTCCCGGCGGGGTTGTCGCCAGATGTTCCAGATCTTGGTATAGGACGAAGTAGAGCACAGGCCGGTTGAGGAAGAAAATACAGGCATGATATCTCAAGGACAACTCTTTCTGACGTGTCGAGATAGCTGGAGTGAGAAGTCTAAAGCTTCTCGCGTCCCGAACATACTGCAGATCAAGCGGCAGGGACCGATACCATGACTCGATCTCCAGAGAGATCTCCGTGATCACAGGGCCAACATCTCGTGGCTGGCAATAGGCTTGATCTGTGATGAACATCCGACCTAAGATTCGATTGAGACATGATCGGAGCCCAAGGTTCGCAGAAAAGTAGTAGTAATCTGGCGACTGGCCTGAACCGGCCTCTAGGCGTCCATCATGCATCAGGCTTGGTGACTGGACATCACTGTTGTTAAGTAGCATGCGTGGCACTCTAGTCGATGGTGTGCCGTCTATCTCAGTGAGAATAATTGTCGCCGTCGTTAGAGACTAATCGAAAAAGCAGGCCAATAGCCAATGTCTGATTCAGCGCCCTGTGTCCTTACCTTTGCAGCATATAAAACACTTGACTTAATAGAAGGACTGGGATTTCAGGCCTGTAAAAACCTCGTCAGGACGGATTGCAAGAGGGAGTACAAGTGGCAGACATACAGGCGATCTGTGCGCTTTGAGAGCCGGTCGATTGCAGGATCGACGCTCTGGAGCATGCCAAGAGCATAAAATGGTTTCGCGAAGATATAGAGGAATATGTGAGCAATGATTAGCATACACGGTACAGCGATCTCGTCTGCCTCTAAGTGCACTCGCCAGAGATGTTGCAAAGCCAAATTGAAGCAGATCTCCGACGGGGTACAGCCCTTGGAACCCACTTGCGCTGGCAAGGATCTGAATGCAATCGTATACATCAGAAGTATCTCCAATGGAAGATCACTCAACCGCAGGGGGGCTTCTTTATTCTGCAAGAGGTCTGATAAGTTTTCAATCCGTTCGGCTTCTTCTGTAACCCGGTCCCGGGAAGAGAGGGCGCTAGTCCTCAGTAGCATGACGAAGGAGATTGGTAATTCTGAGAGGATCTTATCCCAGGTCCGTAAGCATTGACTTACGAGGGATATGGGCATTTCAGCCTGGGCCAAATGCTCCGGCGAAATCTTCATCCCCGTGAAACGACTATCTTGGTTGTCCGCATCCTTCAAATAGCGAAGCACGTCCACATCAGGGATGGTCAATTTCACTCGCAGGCGCGACCCAGTACTGGAGAATCTTATGGCCGGCGCCATGATAAAATTTAGGAATCCTGAAGAGCCCCTCAGGTCTGTGATTCTGTTCCTCCCGACCGTGGGCACTTGACGCTCTTAAATGTCGGCATAAATGACTCTTGATATGACTCTTTCTGAGAGTAGCTCCGTTGTAGGCTGACGTGGGGGCTTGATCAAGTACTGTCTTCACTAGATCCCGATGTCATATGGAATCTTTGTAAGTCTGAATCTAGAATACTGATATGCAGTGAATTGATTTTATTTCCCGGCCTTGCATGAGTCATCGAAGAGAAAATATTCTAAAAAAGGAGTCTAGAAAGGCTTTTTCACAGTCTAAATTATGATAGGACATTCGCCATCATCATTCATCCACCTTTTCATGTTCTATGACATGCAGCAGTCAACTATGCTGTAATACAGTCTTGTTGGCAACTTCTAAATTATCTTCAAGGGGCTAACGCCTAGATCAATCCGTAGAGCGGATATTGCGAAGCATTCATCTTTGGCCAAGTCACACAATCATCCTTGTTGACAGGGATTATATCAGTCGCACGATATGTGAAGAACCGTCTATAATAGCGCTCTAGTCTGTATGTGACGGCCTTCATACAATTGCTATTGTTGCGGATCAGCTAACTCCTCTGGTTCTTGAAAATATCATCATTTCGAATAGAGCCCATTTCTTTGGTCCCTATCAATTTCTCTTGATATATGGAAGCATGGCCTAGCAGACTTGAGCCTTTCCAGTAGCATTTCATTCCAGGATATCTTCTATTTCATCTAGAGCTTCTTGAGACTATAAATTCCACTGCAACACCTGCAGGCTAACTTGAAATGGCATCAAAAGGAGTGTCCTTGAGAACCCGTTCTTTTATTCCTTTGGAGGGCTTAGTGGCTGCTTTCCCAAGGAGGCAGATGCTGATGCGAAGGTAAATAGAATATTTTAGTTAAAGCCCTTTGAATTTTTCTTATAGAGCATTCCACCAAGCAATATTAAGGTTAACCCTGACCCTGACCCTAAACTTTCCAGACTATCGGTACCAGAACCAGGTTCTGCCATACCGGTTGAAGGCAGAGACAGTGAAGTGAGCGGTGCAATAAACGGGTCCAATATAGGATCCAGAAGTGATGTGTGGACCATATCCGCTGAATTATTCCCCAGTGGAAAATCAAGACTGGCAACTTACCCCTGGTTATCACATAGAGACAGTGCAGGATCCCAAATAGCCAGATCAAGCAGGAAAGATTCTAATTCCATACTGTCTATGATGAGTGCTGTGCTTTTAGAGAAAGAGGCTTTCTTTTTACCCAAGGGGAGTATTAATTAAAAGATCTAGCTGGCTGTCTAAATAGCATAAAGCTATCGTGCAGTTTATTTTATACAACTTAAGAATAAAACTAGATTTATACAATATCTAAAAATATCTTAAAGATAGATGAGTAGAAGGAAATCTAGATTAGGCATTCTACTACTCTTATAAGATTATATAGGTCAGAAGAAAATAAAATTGAACGACAGCATCTCGTTCAGAAGCCCAACCTCCCTGTCGACAAGAAATCCCTGTAGAATTTAAAAGAATTTATTCAGAAGAGTTCTACTCGCAATTTAGTCCTTAATGGAAACATCACCTGAGGGACTGACAGTGTTGATTTATCACTGCATTGTCAGGAAAAATGCGCTGATAGATCGCATTCATTCGAACACTATTGATGGCATCCAGGTAGCCTATCCTGAATCTCCAGCACGAGTACCTCGTGAGCAGACGGAGGTAGCCACCATGTGCATGTCAAAGCACCCAAGAATCTAAAGATTGTTCCATGTTTAGATATATTTCCCCACATTATACTTAATCTCCACGTTTATATTACTCAACCACCACGAGGAGCTCTCCAACTCTGTCCTCGTAATGACAGAAGGACATTCCATATGTATGTACCTGAGGTACTCTACTCTACCTTGAGTCCTTCCCCGCATTTTGTAATTATGTTTTTACCCGCCTCGTCAGATTTGGTAGAATTGGCTCACACCACCTCTTTCCCCATGTCCCTTCCCTTTCGAAACTTCCCCTCTCTACTCCTCTCTTCTCCTCTCATCTAACGGTAGTCTTGTCTGTGATCAGGCTGGATATTAATCGTGCGCAAACCTGACCAACCAAGTCCTATTAATATTAATTAATGTTACAGAATCCTGATCTTGCTGCATATTGTTACTATTATTGTCACGAGGAAGATAGACAGACAGGCAAGGATGAGGGATAGATGGATGATGTTGACACGCGGGCGGGAGAAAGAATTGCCGGACGTCACTGTATGTAGACCCTGGATTGTATGTATCTTCTACCCATGCTTGTCTTGTGCTATATTCGGTACTACGTAGGCATCTACAGTACATGGGTAGCGAGTCTTCCTACCAATGTACCTACGTGTACATGCTCCGTACAGGTTCAGTTGTGGTGTAATAATAAACCGGATCAAAGAAAAAAAAGAACTTCCAGCTAATATTATCCGCCAGTGACATACTACTCCCCATTATTACCCCGCATTTATAGTGATAATTGTTGTTCTTCGATTCTATTCTATTCTTTCTTGATTTCATATTATGTAAGTCATTCTTCTATCATGACGGCAATAATAAATATCCTGAAGCTTACGCACCGTATGGGCATCTACCTGCCTTCTTGGGCAGTGTCGCGCGAGAGCCACTCCTCCAACTGAGTTAAGCTATGACGACGACGGGAAAAAAAGATTACACCAGAGCCTATGGATGGATGGATGGATGCGGATGCAGATGTGGATGTGGAGCTGGACAGAGGACCTTGCTCGAGATCTAGAATCGGAAAAATAATGGACAATCGGATTATCGGCATCAATGCTCTTAGCTCACTAAATGACAGGTCAAACCCCAGCGATTAGGCATGGCCAAGCTTTTCGACATACCCCACATAGGTCAGCCACTGTGCTCACCGCTATCGTGTGTCTGGATAACGGCTGTGGTCTGTCATTTGAAGACATCCACCGGTCTCTGCGATGTATGTACCTACGTACAGTACAGTACATGTGCAGTACATGGCAGTGCATCTGTCCAGACAGAATAATAATTGCCGCACAGAACTGCAATCTAGACTAGCTAGTAGTCTACTCCGTAGTCCCTGCTTCCTTAGCAGGTAGGACTTGTTGCAGATCCCTAAGTCCTTACTCCGTAGGCAGTGACACCAGCGCCAGGACTCGGGTACTATTAATAGCAAAATATGCTCATTGCTCGAGTTCAACGGTCTCAGGATTCGGCAATCGACCACGCGATCTGCGTGCCGGACAGCAGCACTACCTCCATCCCCCCCAGGATAGATTACTCCGTACCAGCGACGACGGGACAAGTGAGGGTATTACCCTCTTCGTCAGGTTGATCATCTGATTGATAATCGGAATGTTGATGCCTGCAGCCTAGCATTAGATATACGGAAACTGGAGTATGTCTATCATATTCTCTGTAGGAAAATAATGCCAATGCTGTCGACGGACTTGGAGAGTACGGAGCAGTTTTATTCCTGTTTGAAGTTTCCCTTTTCTTCCGATGATATGTATGACGAGTGGGGAGCTACGGAGTATTATTGCACACAGTAGTTAATTAGTCCTTTTTTACTCCGTAAACCAGCAACCATTTCTAGACGCTCTGTACAGTATGACGAATGCCCCAGGCATCCGGCAGATGCATGTCTCGGCTCGCTTAGGCCTCACCGCCCCCGCGGGTGCCTATATCTAGGCTTGCGGCCCGTAGGGCTGTTTGTAGGAATCAAGCCGTTTCTTCATCTTCCACAGAGCCCTCATCACATGTAGGTACCTACATGTACAGACATCCTGTCTTGTGACCTCCTCACCTTGGCGGTCAAAAAAAAAAGAAAGAAAGAAAGAAAGCATTACTTTCTCCATATTCTTCTCTCCCTTCTCAAAAGACCCAGCCTCTGCAACACTCCGAAGAGGGATTTATTATTAGATACAACAATCATACCACCCACCTATTCAGCACTGGCTTTCCAAGCAGCCAGTCACTACCTACGTAGTCATCCATCGTATGTACAGTCGATAGTATTACTTACCCCTCGTGCGGGGACAAATTCACAACTGCCAAGGGTCCCTGTCCCTGTCTAGAGTCTACCACCCCTTGCCGATGCGATGAGGGGAAGGAAAGCAAGCCGTCTTTCCCGCGGAATCTAAATTAATAAGAAAAACAATGTTAAAAATAAATCCAAGAGAATTGATTCCCTGCAATAAGATCGACGGTCGACAGTAATTCGCGCGAAATGATCTAGCCAGGTAAGTACTGTACTGTACATACCTACCTAGTCAGGTAGGTGAGTGAGTAGATGGCTGGGCGAGTGGAGACGATAAACAAACAAGCTTGAATCCTTCCAGTCCTTCTTCAACTTTAAGTTAATCAATAGCAAGGACGACCCATCGAAACTCCTTTTTTTTTCGTCATTGTCATGCACTACTGTTTTTGTTTTAAAGCTTGGCCCAGAAGCTGGCTCGTGGTAGTCTTGCTTAAGCAGTTTGGCAATGTCAAACAACGGGACGTCCCACGTTCTGGCATCTGCAGTACCTACAGTGTACTTCCTTATGTATGTAACGTACATACCTAGGTACTTTGTAGGCAGGGAAGTTCGCTTGTCTCGGCCGAAAATTATGCCGGAATGTAACTCCGTTGAGAGAAGAGATATCTGTCTGCCTGTGGTCCTCCTTCGCAGTAACTATGTATCTACTGTACTGTACTGTACTGTACATACGGTCAGCACTTGCTATGGGCTAAAAATGGAACGAGGGAATTAGATCATAGCCTATAAGTTAGTATATCGATATGTGGAGAATCGTCTCACAACCCGGTTCGATAGGTGGTAGTAGCCAGAAGTGGCAGCAGCAGCAACAGCAGCAGCAGGTGTCAGGTAGTAATGATCATTGATTGATTGTCTGATTGTCTGTTAACATTAATCAATCACGTCACCCTTAATCTCCTTCATATACCATTAGAAAAAAAAACTCCGACAGAGGTCTTCAACGATCCCTCAAGGCAGGGTTGCAAGCAGTGTTGCAACTTAGTATTGCATGCATAATCAGGTTTCTGCTCGGACCTGGCAGCAGACATAGATCTAGAGTAGTCTGCATTAGTTAGCGTCATTGATCCGCATGGACAAGTGTGGAGCACAATGCTTGAAGACATCATGCTTTTGTTTCGGTGTGATTAATCGCTCCTTGCGTGCAGTGAGGGGTAATTTGACAGTGACTGCTATCGAGTGCAATGCCTAGGTACACAAGATGAGGAGAGGGAGCTGTCAGCTTCCGACCATTCCGGCTTGACGTAAATCAACAAAATAGAGCTGCGAATATAAAGAATGGGATGATCTGCAATTTTTCAGTGAGAAATGCCGTCACGAGGGACATTTGCCAGAAGACTCTCTCATACACACTTGGTCACAGTCAAGAACAGTTCCTGATCAAGGCCCGACATTTCTTCCACCATGGGCCGATTTAACGCCTTCTCCGGCGCATTGCTCTCGCTGGCAATCCTTCCCCTCGCCAATGGCGCCCCTGCAGCCGTCTCGTCCGCCTCCGCCAGCAGCAGCCCTAACCCTCCCCTGAGAGGCTCCGAGGACCTCCTGGGCTATTCTCCCTCCAACGTGCTGACGACGGAAAACACCGACGACGTTCCCTACCAGCCCGTCGAGGGACAGAATCTCGACGCCATTGACGGCTTCTATCTCGATTTCGAAAGCGTGGAAAACCCGCAGCCCATCCGCGGATCTAAGGGAGGAACCGATCCCGGTCCTCGTAAGGTCTCCGACCAGCCCAGACGTGGCGAATGCTGACAGAAAAAGGCAATGACAACTACGACCGCATCAACAGCGACAAGCTCGCCCCGCCAGGAACGGACAGCGGCTCGACGATCAACGCGCAGTGGCCGATGGGTACGTCTATCCCATTTGATCTGACAGATCTGCGTACTGACCGTTCACAGGCCTCAGTCATAACAGGTCAGCCTTGACGCATCTTTTAAATTTCGTTCGTCTAACTTATGCAGACTCGGCCTCAATGGCGCCGGTTGGGCGCGACAGGAAAATACAGAGGTCATGCCGGCTGCAAAAGCGATGGCCGGCGTCGACATGAGACTCGAGGCGGGCGCCTACCGGGAACTGCACTGGCATGTCGCGTCGGAGTGGTCTCTGGTTCTGAACGGCAGTGCCAGGATTGCGGTAAGCCGCTCGTTGTAGTCTAACTTCGCGTTCCTGAGCTGACCGGACAGGCAATGAACGAGGAGGGCCAGACATTCATCGACGATGTGTCCAAAGGCGATGTGTGGTTCTTCCCGCCGTATGTGAAGTCTTGAAGTCCCCGATGATATTTACGTGAATCTGACTGTTCACTAGAGGCGTACCTCATTCCATCCAGGCTCTCGAAAACGGAACGGAGTTTCTTCTGGTTTTCGACGACGGCTCATTCTCAGAAGACAACACTTTTCTAACTTCGGACGTCTTCTCCCATCAACCGGTAAGAAAAGGCTCCGCACGGACTGAACGACGAGCTGACTCGGGGTAGAGAGAGGTGCTGTCAAAGAACTTTGGCGTCCCCATCGCCGCCTTTGACAACATTCCCACCGAGGAGCTCTACATCTTCCCGGGAACCCCAGCACCGAAGGACATCCAAGAACAGAATGTCACCGGGTCAGCGGGCAGCGTTCCCAAGGAACAGAGCTACTCATACCACTTCTCGGAGCAGCCCGCTCACGAGGTCCCCGGAGGCAGCGTGAAGATCGTCGATCCATTGACCTTCCCGATCGCGTCCAACTTCTCAGCCGCCCTCGTTACCGTCAAGCCCGGCGGCATGCGCGAAATCCACTGGCATCCGTCCAGTGATGAGTGGTCGTTTTTCATCCAGGGCAAAGCCCGTGCCACCCTCTTCTCGGCGCCCAGCAGTGCCACCACGTTCGACTATCGCCAGGGAGATGTAGGTTACTTTCCCAGGTCGAACAGCCACTATGTCGAGAACACTGGCGACACGGATCTGATATTCCTCGAGGTGCTCCAAGCCGATCACTTTAGCGGTGAGTTCTTTCCCTGTCCTTCTTTTCTTTCCTTTTCTTGTCGCTGACGTTACCAGACATCTCCCTCGGACAGTGGATCGGCTCGACGTCGAAGCAGATCATCCGCGACAGTCTCCGTCTGAGCAACGAGACGCTGGACCAGCTCAAGACGGAGAAGCAGTACGTGGTCGCTGGATCCACCAACCTGACGTCCTTCACGCAGCCATGATCATGTCGATATGTACATGACTGGAATATTCAGGATATACCGTAGTTTATGTTCCTTGATTCGTGTCAGTTTCTGTATATAGCATGTGGGGCCACGATCTGACTGTGACTTTTTTGGCCTCCAATATCAATTCTGTAATGTCGCGTGTCTGAAACGAATTTAATTCTTTTCATTTCTGGATGCATCTGTATGAAGCAACGTAGAACTCGTAGAAATTGTCAGCCAAGTCGATGGAAGCAGATGAGAATCTCCTAGTAACTTGGGGGCTCTAAATGTTTTTGGTAAACGAAATGCCGGCAGAACGCAAGGCGGTGAGGGCAGCCCGCCACACGCCTTTGGCCCACAAGCGCGCGACTAATTAGGCGGCGAGCAAAGCACAAAAACTCGAAATTATTCCGATAATCGTCGACTCCTCCCGCCTTATCATTTCCTGGCCGCTCCTTTCTGAGTCTCACCCTTCAGAAAGGACAGGAAGAGGGAGATTTGGACCTTACGTCTCGTATCCTCCATATCGACCACCATGGCTCCCATTTCTCTGGCCAACATCGTCTCGTCCCTCCCGTCGGAGGACTCCTGGGGTCCCCCCACCTCCACCGATAACACCCTCGATGGCGTGCCCTACGCCCCCTTCTCCAAGGGCGACAAGCTCGGCAGAATGGCCGACTGGACTGCAGAGAAGGATCGTGAACGCGGTGGCCGACAGGCCTACAACCGGAATTTCAGAGGTGAGTTGTGGCGAGTTTTTGTTCTGTGGTCTTTTCCCCAAGGACTCCGTCGCTAATGTCTCTCAAGACCAACAGGTGTATGGCGCAGGAACCTCCAGTCTCTTCGCCGTCCAGGTCGCCGAAGACGAGTCCTCCTTCTCTGTTGTCGACAACACCCGCACGTCTGCAAAGGCCCGTGGTTTCGGCCGCGGCGGTGGCACCATCTTCCGCGGCCGTGGCCAGCGTGGCACCCTCCAGCGCGGCGGCCGGGCTGGCTTCCAGAGAGTCGGTGCTGGGCGAGGCCAGGCTGGTATCTACGACCAGCGCGTTGCCCGCGGTGGACGCGGTCGTCGCTTCGGATGGAAGGACTACGACAAGCCCCAGCGGAACCGGGACAGCTCCGTCAACATCCGCCCGGAGTGGACCCTGCTCGAAGAGGTCGACTTCAACCGGCTGTCGAAGCTGCATCTGGAGACGCCTGATGGCGACGATATCGAGAACTACGGATTCCTCTACTACTACGACCGGTCGTACGACAAGGCGCCCGTTAAGGGAGCCGAGCGCAAGCTGCAGTCCCTCGAGCGGGCTGCCTATAACGTGACCACCTCGTCCGACCCTGTAATCCAAGAGCTTGCGGAGAAGAATGAGGCCACCGTCTTTGCCACGGCCGACATCCTGTCCATGCTGATGTGCGCGCCGCGCAGTGTGTACTCGTGGGATATCATCATTGTCAAGCAAGGCGACAAGATTTTCTTCGACAAGCGCGAGGGCTCCTCGATCGACCTGGTCACGGTCAACGAGAACGCGGCAGATGCGCCCCTGGAAGTGTCCGAGTCCGGTGGCAAACAGGACGCGATCAACACGCCGAGCGCGCTGGCCCTGGAGGCGACATTTATCAACCACAACTTCGCGCTGCAGACGGTGTCCGAGTCAGACACGAACAAGGTTGAATTCGAGCACCCGAACCCGTTCTACAACGCCGCGGAGGAGACGGAGCCTCTGGCGTCGAAGGCGTACAAGTACCGGCGGTTCGACCTGTCGCTTGAGAAGGATGAGGAGCCGCTGAACCTGATCGTCCGTACGGAAGTCGACGCGGTGTTGAAGAGCTCCACCGGTGAGAACCAGCAGCTGGTGATCCGGGCGCTGAACGAGTTCGACCACAAGGCCCAAGGTGCAGGCGGTGCGCTGGACTGGCGGACCAAACTGGCGTCGCAGCGGGGAGCCGTCGTGGCGACGGAGATGAAGAACAACAGCTGCAAGCTGGCGCGGTGGACGACGCAGGCCATCCTGGCCAAGGCGGACGTGATGAAGCTGGGGTTCGTGTCGCGCGCCAACCCGAAATCTGCCGCGGCGCACGTCATCCTGGGCGTGGTGGGCTACAAGCCGCGCGAATTCGCGGCGCAGATGAACCTGAACCTGAGTAACGGATGGGGTATTGTGCGAACGATCGTCGACCTAATCCGCAGCCTGGACGAGGAAGAAGAAGAAGGCGAAGGCGAGGGCGAGGGCAAGGGCGAAGGCGAAGGTGCCAGTGAAGGCGCCAGCGGCGAAGGAGAGAAGAAAGAGGAGGGCGAGAGCGGCGAGAAGAAGCAGCAGCAACAGAAGCAGGAGCAACAGCGCAGCGACGAAGAAGAAAAGATCAAGAAGTACGTCCTCGTCAAGGACCCGAACAAGCCGGTCATCCGGCTGTACAGCGTCCCGCCCAACACGTTCGAAGAGGACGAGGCAGCAGAAGAGAAAGAGGATGAAGAAAAGGGCGAGGAGGAGGAAGAGGAGTAAACTGGAAAGTAAAAAGTCAATTCCAGCAGATGATTTTTAAAAAAAAAAATATTAATTGTTCCTTGTGTAGGTAGTGTAGTACCTGACCTTTTCGATTCGAATTCTTGAGTCTTCAGTCTTGACCTTTTGAATTCAACAAGACCGTGATATGATATGAGATGCGATCGGATGCGATCTGTGATGTGATTTATGGATGTGATGGATGTGATGATGTGTACAGTACAGTACGTACGTACGACAGACACGAGACTGTTAGAGATAGAAGATAAAGGGTTAAACCACCATCAATCATCATGGGCATATAATTAATCCCTCTTCCTTACTTGTTTAAGATAAAAAAATAATTACCAGTACAGTAGTAAAAATAAATTATCAGTGAACACACACAGGCAAAGCAAAGCCAAGTAACCAAGTACCTAGACAATAAAATATGAAATTAAAAAAAAAAAGAAATACGCAAAGCAGAAGCAGAAGCTCTTTTTTTTTAAAAAAAAAAACAAAATTCCCCTTTGGTCCCTTTTTCCTTCTTTCTTTTTCCGAAAATTGAAAAGAAAAGGATAAAAAAATAGAAGAAAAGGAAACCCGTACTATATTCGCCCTCCCGCGTGTATACAAACAACTCATTAATTAAATCCTTCAGGGGGATTGCTTGCCTAGTACGCATCCCATCCCATTCCAATAGTTTTGTGTATGTGTGTATGTGTGTGTGTGTGTGTGTGTGTGTGTGTGTGTGTGTGTGT